AGTTGTAGTGTGCTTCTCATAAAAACTATGCGCTAAATTTTAAAAGCTTTGCCTTTAATAGAAGGGAAAATCGAAGGATACAAAGCCAGATTAGTTACAAAAGGATTAAGCCAGAAGTCTGGATCTTACTATGATGAATCCTTTGCTCTTGTAATAAAATATACAACTCATATATAAAAACAAATGTTTCAGATATATCAATGTCAAAACAGCTTTTCTTCATGAAAAACTAGAAGAAGAAAATTACATAACTCAACGAGAAGGATACGAAAAAGACAGGTATGAAAGTAAAGTTTGCAAGCCTAAGAAATCAATAGAGACTAAACCAAGTCGCTAGAGCCTGGAATCTGAAAGATTGGAAAAATACTTCTAAACATATCATTTAACATTCCAGCACGCGCGCTTGGGAAGTTTACATGAGCACGCGCGCGTCGTATTTTTTACGACAATTGTTATTTTACCGTTTTTAGCATGAAAAATGACAGAAATGAGTGAAAAGTGATGATAAATTTGTTAAAACATGAAATATTAACCTTATTACTGCAAAATACAAATGATGTGACATTTAAATGATAGTAAATTATTTTTAAACGTTCAAATCAGTCAGGTGGATAAGCAATGATGTATTTCATTATAAAAATTTAAAAAATTATTATTTAATAACTATATCTTAAAATTCAAGCTAGTTTTAATATTCACCTGTCCTGTCCTGTTGATTTAGCATCGAATCGAAGACAACTTGTCAGAAATAAAAAACTCTTGTAGATCATCAGAGCTCTTGTTATTTCAATTCCAGTGCCATCACTCGAGAACAATTCTTTTGCATTTACATGGTGTCCTTTTTTTATTCTTATCATATATAAAAATTCAAATTAGGCCATCATTTCGACTCAGGTAACAATGCTATTATTCTCACATCCAAAAGTTTCCTTGTCTTATTTTTCTTTATCAGATAATTATTGAAGAATGCGAGCAAAATCAGCTGGTTGCACATATTTTTCTTTTAACATGAAAACCGATATAAAAATTATAGACTCGAATTTATACAAATTGAAATAATACGCGTTAATTAATAACACAAAATATTTGAGAAAAAATTATTTTCCCAATTTTCCCCCACGACCAAGCGCGTGTCGTAACTTTTACGAAGGAGGTGCCACGTAGCGCAAAAGCCCAGTAAAAAAGAAAAAATGTCATATACCTTCCTTTTGGCACATTCTATGATGTGGGGGAAGAGTTGAAAGGAGAAATAGAAATGACATTCAGACGTCTCAGCTGCGATGTGCGAAAAGTGTGCATTAAAAACCGAATTTGTGGTCAATTTTGTGCATAGCGCGTGTGCTGGAAGGTTAAACAAAATAAAGCAGACTCATGCTTATTTTTCAAAATCAACAATGGAAAATTCACATACATAATATTATATGTAGACGATATACTTAATAGAAAGTGAAAGAGATGCAATGAAAACAATCCAGCAACTAAAAGCTAAACTGGAAATCAAAGACCTCGGAGAAGTCACTTAACTACCGCGTGCTAAATATCGAAAAATCTAAAGATGGAATTCTTTGCCATAAACCAAAAGAATAAAATCGAAGAAATGGTTCAAAGATTCGGACTTCAGTATGAAAAACAAACATATAAGCAATGGAAACAAACTACTGTAAACTAGACACTGAAGATGATCTTCTAGAAGATACATATTATAAAGAAGCAGTAGAGGCATTATTATACACTGCAACCATTAGTCGACCCGATATAGCATGCGCCGTCATCTACTGAGTAGAAGAAACGAAAAACCTCGGAAAATAGATTGGAATGCTGTCAAAAAGGTCATTCGATACTTAAATACAACTTAAGATTTGAAGTTGGTCTTTAACAAAATTCAAGAACCTATACTAACTGCATGTTCAGATGCAGATTGGGGAAATGACAGAACAACTAGAAAATCCATTAGCGGATACATATTCAAATTAGGAAACAATTGCATTTCAATGGAACAGCGAAAGGCAAAATCTCACTGCATTATCTTCAACTGAAGTGGAGTTTATTGGAACAGCTAATACAGCTCAAGAAGCACAATGTCTCTTAACTTTACTTAAAGATTTAAGGCTAAAACAAAATCTAGCGATTACTCTATGAAGATAACAAGTCATGCATCAAACTTTCACAACCAGAGAAAAGTTCTAGAAAAAAATATATAAGCATGAAATACCAATACTTGCGTGACCTTCAACAAAACGTCATCTTAACCCTAGACTACTCTAAAACCTCCGACATGATCGCAGACCTGCTCACCAAACCGTTAAGCAAGTCTGTGTTCGAGAAACTTCGAGAATCGCTCCAAATGGTGATGCTGTCCATCCCTTGGTATTCGTATGCATTGATGTGGCGTCTGGGGATATTATATAGGGAATGTAATCTGAGTACACTACGGAAAAAGTTAACTGAGTGACTCGTTTCTTTTCCTTCTTCTCACTCCTGCATATAGGGACAGTTTTAAAACTCTCTTATAATGAATAATTATTGAACACTCTCTTGATATGTATTATGAAAATTCTAATGAATCTTATGATTATGCTCAAAATAAATGTGTTCGTTTGAAATTTCGTATAAAACTTTCTGCATGGATTATTTAAAACTATGATGATGCTGGGCAATATTGAGAAGAGAAGGTAAGAAATTATTCTTTTCCTTACTTTATGATTTGTTGTAGAAATATTTTACAACAATTTATTATATTTTAAAACATTTGATACAATATTTTGATAAATCATAATGTTCATAAAGCGTTAATTTCAATACAAATGATTTAACTTAATTTATGTTTCCATTTATTAATTATTCCTTCATAATGCTTGACTTTCTTTTTAGCACAAACTAATATCAAATTCCTAACAGATGCTAAGCGGGTTATTGGTAAGTCTGGACAGAACTACAAAGTGTTACGAAGGTTTTTAAAGTAAAGTATTTTATTAAATCGGAACACTGAACATAAATACACAATTTTTGCTTATAAACCTCTGCTAACTACTTGTGGCTAGATAAAGAAACTGTAAACCCATATTTTCAAATTTAGAATTAATTCTAATAGCCAAGGGTTACACGAAGGATTTAACGTGAAGTTAACTTCTTACCGGCGTAACAATTTAAATATCGGCAACTATAATGCAAATCAGAATAATAGTCTTATCTGAGCTAGCTAACTTAGTAACTTGGCCTCGAGAGGCATAGAAAGCTCTGATTTAAACTCCCGAAACTAAATACTATCCTAATGTACCTTATTTAAATTCTAATAGGGAAACGGAAACGAGAAGTGACGGTAAAGATCCAAAATATAAAGTAACTGGTTAGCGAAAAATAATAACCTTATACCTTACATAAAATTTTATTCTTTACTTCTTCGGTGTCTACATTTGTTATCGAACAGTAGTGTGTTTCAATCTTATTTGCAAACATCAGATGTTAAATACACTGGTGGACAATTGCTAAGGACGAATGGCAACAGCAGCATTAGCAACCACAAAATGGAAGGCAGAAAATGTAAAAATTAACATAAGTGCGGAATAGAGTAAGAGGTGCTATGGGTATGCTGATTTTGAATTCCGAAGCTGTTCGTCATGTGATAGTGCTGATAAGAGATTGTAATGTTCCAAATGCTATAATTTACAGCTTAATGTGTGGAACCTTAAGAACTGGTAAGCGAATAATAGCTTATTTCAGGAAGATAGAAACGTAAACGTACGGTAAACGGTTAATTACCATTTATTACTCAAAATAAATTAACATTTGACGCCCTCTCGGAGTTTACAGCAAAGCCTCGACTTGGGCTTGAACTCATGAATACTAACAATTAAAGCTTAACTAAAGAGATATAGCCGAAGCTATCAAAATTCTACAAGAGTTGGCTCTTTAACGCTAACTAAACGGCGAAGCTATCAAGGGCCTAAAGATAGCTTTAGAGAGAATATAGCCAAAAGGCTAACGCGCGCTTGTCAGAATCTCTGGCTCTCTAACGAAGTCAGTAGAACTTCAAAGTTAAATACTTTCAAATACTTTCTCCTCCTCATGTGCATTTCACCGCGATTGTGAAAATACGTTCTGGCAGGAAATTGTAAGCTGAAATTTAGAAAGAACAATTAAGTAACTTTAACTAAAAATTAACTGTTAAAATTTAGGATAAACCTTACAAGATATAAAGGATTTGACGCATACTGACCATTGTCCTTCAAAAGAAAACTTTAACGGGAAAGAAGCAATTGAAGAACTTGCAATTTTTCAGTATATTTTCCCCGACATCACTTAGATGATTTTATGTGGCTAGAACTCTATACTGATAGAACACATACCGTATAGAAATGGCTATGAAATAATAAATCGAACTAATGTATTCTGAAGCTGAGGCGACAGGGAGAAATTGGTTCATTAAAAATTAACTAGTCGGGAAAAGTCAACTTTTATTTCGAGTTCTACGTTTCGGCCTTTATTTTGACTCAACAAAATTTCAACTTAATAAAAGTGCAATATCACCCTTTTCTTCCTACGCCGCCTTATAGAGAAATAACTCCACCTTCTTGTATTTTGAAAATTTATTGCACATACACAAAACTAAATATTAAAACTACGATACTAATAACTGAAATATATATACATTGATTGCTAATAAAAATTAATAAAAGTTAAGTAATAAAAGTTAATTTCGTTTTCATTAATGGCTCCCACGAGCCTTCCCTATGACATCTCCGAAGGTCTCCCTCTTGGGAACTAAACTTTTAGCGCCTCTACAGACTGAGAGTTAGCACCCTCTACACATCTTGTTGGTTGGCGTCACCCATACATCAAACAAAGTTTACTGCATTTTTCAGACGGAGAAAATAATCGGTGCTTTCTACCGCGCACTAGAGAACTGAGTAAGAGAAAGCTGACTTTATTACTTCTATTTAGTTTAATTTGAGATTAATACATCAGTTTTTGTTTCTAGTACTAGTTATAAATCTAATTTTTCAACCATATATCATAACACTAAAAGAAGTAAGAAATATTATTACCTCTACAGACAATGTTTTGTACAAATCACTTGCGCCTTCAAAACATCTGATTTTTCTTCCACTGTGATTACCCCAAAACTCGAAGTAAAACTGAAAGAAAAAATTAGAAAAATGCTCAAATGATTTCTTAAATATATATGTTAATGTGCGATATTGTGCACGTTATCTAGCTAATCCTAATCTGCAGATTAACTGATGTGCTCCGTTAAACAGCAGAATCATCAAGAGGTTTTTTCGCATTTTATTTGGATCGTACAGAAATGATTGACACAACGGCTCTCACAACGAAACAATTACACTATGCCAAGTGAAAACAAGTGAAATAGGCACAAGAAGGCGTGAGCTACTCAGAATGCATAGAGCTGGCCACAAGGGAGAACGGTATAAGTCAGCGCCCATCCCTTTTGCCGTCGTCATTGAGAGCGTGGACAGCAAAGATGGAAGATGATTATCGCAATCAGCATTGGTGTATTGGTGTATTGAGAATACGGCAAAGCACACTAGGGCTATCTGGCTAAAGGGAGGAATGCCTTCGTGGAGGACTTTCGAAGGGGAACTGGCTCGTATACACGTTACACATGGGGAAAACCACGAAAACGCCCATGCAGCCAGCCCGTTCGCGGGATTCGAACTTCGGACCGAACTACCAGTGTTCAGCGATTTTACCGATCGGCCGCTGGTAGGTGCGATCAGCATTGGACAGCGTGGTTCCTATGGAAGGAAGGGACACAGGGTAGTGGGATCCATCGTCGCATGGTGTCGGTGTGCGGGAACAGAGCATCATCAAATGCGTACCGTATCCCGTTGGTTGGCCAAGTTCAGCAGTGGAGTGGAGACCGCAGTCAAAGGTGTCAGCGCGGGACGACCAGCAACATCGCATACAGCTGCAAATGTGGCAAGCCGCGTTGGATTTCATTATGACGAACAGGCGCATAACTTTCAACAGGATTCACGAAGAGACAGGGTTTGCGCAAGGAACACTGCAGACGATTAAGCATGGTGATTTGGAGATGACAAATGTGTGTGCCAAGTAGGTACACCTCTGATCTCGGACTACTCCTTGCTTGACAAGATGAAGGACGCAGTCAGGGGACACCATGTTGAATCTTCTGCCGAATTGCATGCAATTGTCAATAGGTGGTGCACGAACACCCTACAGACTTGTTTATCAAAGCACTTCGGAACCTCCCAGCCAGATGACAGATGTGTACTGACAAAGGCGGGGATTATTTCTAACTGATGTACCATCAGTTTTTTGTAATAAATTGTATTCCACTCTGTGGCAGCATTTGTGTCATTCATTTCTGTACGACCTAAATACCTAGGTAATTGTGCACACTAACAGCATCCCTATCATTTTAAAGTTCAAAAGTTTCTTTCAATCATTTCCTTTCCTTCTCCGTCCTTAATTATAGTAACTTGATTGTTTAGATATCGAAAAATAAATGACACTATGTTAATTACCTTATTTGTTATAAAATTTTAAACCGTTTTATTCTTTGTATTACAGTTTTTTAACTGACTGATGATTGATTCTATCAATTTATTTGTTGATTGTTTGATTATATTAATTTAAAATTTTAGATATCGAAAAATAAATAAATAACATTATGTTTATTTAAGCGTTTCGAAACGTTGCTGTTGCCTCCAGCAAATATCTTCTTTTTACTTGTTGTAAGTGCCTAGTAGGGGATGGGCAAAGTATCTAGGTAATTTTGCAAATAACATTTTTTTTTTAATTTTGAAAAGTGAAACAATTTTACGCATTTTAACGAATCACCCTAGTTAATCTGAAGATATCTACGCAATAATAAATCCAGATTATCTAATTGATTTTTCCATTCTAGCGGTAACGTATATAAGAAAAATTTGAGCAAGCTCAAATTTATATATATATATGTATAATATATATATATATATATATATATAGATATGTATAATATATATATATATATATATATATGCATGTATGTATTTTATAGATGGTTTGCTGTGTTTTTATAAATTGGAGTTTCTTTAGTACGTAGAAAAAACGAATGGTACTTAAAGACGGAACTCACCATAGTTACAACACGTAATTTTTATTTCTTATATATATATTTATAAATTCTATTATATGCAAAAAAATAAAGAGCATGTAAAAGATTAAATTAGCAGCGTAAATTAATTTCCCTTCTCTATTCTAAAAATAGCAACATCTATTTCCAATGCATCATTTCGAGAAGAAATCTATGTCATATGACCCTTGCGTAATTGTCGTGACGTAAATGGAACTAAAACTCAAACAGCCAATAGTAATTTCACAGCAATATTAACTGTCCAACCAAAATGCTTTGAAAACCAAAACTAACTCTGTCTCACTTGATACTTCATCCTGAACATTACACACCTGCTTTCCACTCCTCAGCCTAGCTAGACTGCTGTCTGTCTGCTGGTGCTTTCTTGCTACAAAGTTATCAAAAATGCAAGCCTTTTGGAATAGTCACATATTGTGTGTCGACTTGTGTGTACGCAACATGTTGCTGAAAATAAAACTGAAGATTTCATCTGCCTTCGCCTCCAATTTCCTAGTCATTATGGTTCAGCATTTCTTCGCAATCAAAATTCCTGCTCCTGAATATACTATTACAATTGTCTTAGTCGTTGCTTCTGAGCTTGAATATATTAAATATATATGTGCATGTATGTATTTATAGATGATTTGTTGCGAGAGCTAAAGTGATACTGCGGTTCCTTCGCAAAGTAGTTTAAACACAAAGTAAAGATTCAATTGTAATTCATAAACTAAAAACACAGTATGTATCAAATACTAATAAAGATAATTAGAAAAAAAGGAAAAACTTAATTTGCTTCAAACTTAAAAGATAAATGCATTTGAAATAAAGTTTAAACTATCACAAAACATATTAGAAAAAGTACTACAAAAACATCATTTTAAAAAGCAATAACAAAGCAGCGGAAAATGGAAAATTAGCCTAATTCGAATATCATCATCGACTTTTCAAGGGAAATGCACGGTGAGCTTCGAACTCTGCTAATTCCAGAACGCGTTTCGTCAAAATGAAGCAAATTGAGATTGATTGCCAACAAATTTTTACATATTAAAAAGATCAAAATTTTAATTAAAACCAAATCTCAATTTCTCTGTTTCATTTCCTGGCGCGTCCGCTGTTAACAAGTACATGAGAAATACCTAACTTGGTGTAAGGAAAACTGTACAGGCAAGCCTGGTAAGGCAAATTTACAGAATTAAAATAAATAGCGAATTGGCTATTAGTTAACATATTCACAAAATTTTTTTGGGGCGAACCTTCTTAGTCGGAAGAGTTTATAACTTTAAAAAGGAGGTAAACAGCAATTATGCTTTTAATAAAGATAGTAAATAATTCAAATTGGGTCAGTTTATGACCAAAATTAGCACAACGAAAGGGTGAAATTTAAAAACACACCTTAATTCATGACTTCTTTCTGCGAGAAGCTATTTGCAAAAAAATGGCAGAAAGAGGTACTTGTAAGCAGCAAGAGTAAAGAGTGAACAAAGATAAGAATGAAGTTCACCAATTAGGTGACACGACGCAAAGGGGAAAACAAACGTTAGGAAGCAATGTCCAATGAAACGTAACTAACTGAGGGGAACCTGAGTCCAAACATTTTGGGGAGGGGGTGTTGATGGTAGTTTTTTCAACATGGCGTCTATCTTGTTCGATGTCAATTCTAGAATGGTTTTAAAAAAGTGAATTCAAAATGGCTAATTCCTACAAATGGTAAAATTGGCCAGAAAGCAGTTGAAATTGAAAAAATACCGTAATTTGTTAGTAAAAGTCGTAATTCTTCAAGCTAGAGGGCTTTCAAGCTTCTTTGAAACGAAAAGGGCCCATAAAATTGAATTAAAAGGACAAATTTGGCCAGAAAAAACTTTATTTTACATATTATACATATTAGGAACAAGGTTTGAAGTACTGAGCCAAATGTGTAAAGAAAAAATGTTAAGTAGTAAGAGTAATAAGCTATACATTTTTTACATTAGATTATTTAAATTAGCCATGCATGAATCACCTTCCGTTGGGATTTAACTAAAAAATTTCATTATCTGACTCCAATAATCTATAAAACAGGTAAATACCAGCATTTTTTAGGGAAATTTTAATGACTGTACTTGGAATAAAACTGTCTTGCAAGATATTAACAAAGTAGTGTATTTCTTCTTGGAGGTGTTGTACATTATTGCAGATTCTTTTAATTCTTAGAAGTTGTGCATTAATTGTGTTGATTACGACACTTTTCGAAATATTAGAGTTACAGTTAGTTAACTTAAGTGCAGGAAAAATAGAAATCTTTGCGCTTGTTGTAAATTTTGATAAGATTGTAATCCAGAATATGTAAATCAAGGTATTATGGTAAAGGTATCAAGGCAAAATAAAGTCTTTATCTGGCCAAATCTATCTTTTTAATTTAATTTTATGGGCCCTTTTCGTTTCAAAGAAGCTTGAAAGCCCTCTAGCTTGAAGAATTACGACTTTTACTAACAAATTACTGTATTTTTCCAATTTCAAATGCTAAATGGCTAATTTTACCATTTGTAGCAATTAGCCATTTTGAATTCATCTTTTTAAAACCATTCTAGAATTGACATCGAACAAGATAGACGCCATGTTGAAAAAACTACCATCAACACCCCCCCCAAAATGTTTGGACTCAGGTTCCCCTCAGTTAGTTACGTTTCATTGGACATTGCTTCCTAACGTTTTTTTCCCCTTTGCGTCGTGTCACCTAATTGGTGAACTTCATTCTTATCTTTGTTCACTCTTTACTCTTGCTGCTTACAAGTACCTCTTTCTGCCATTTTTTGCAAATAGCTTCTCGCAGAAAGAAGTCATGAATTAAGGTGTGTTTTTAAATTTCACCCTTTCGTTGTGCTAATTTTGGTCATAAACTGACCCAATTTGAATTATTTACTATCTTTATTAAAAGCATAATTGCTGTTACCTCCTTTTTAAAGTTATAACTCTTCCGACTAAGAAGGTTCGCCCCAAAAAAATTTGTGAATATGTTAACTAATAGCAATTCGCTATTTATTTTAATTCTGTAAA